TTGTTTGCTTCCTGTTTGTGTTTTGTCTGGTTTCTGTGTGTGAAATCAAGGATAGGTAAATCTCTAGAGACAGGTAACTGGGTTAATAATGGTGGCGTCGTGGTTAGGCGTTGGGCTACTAACTACAACGATAGCAATTAGAAACCACCAGCTGCTCTGTATGGGAAAGGCGGGGCTTTCTCCTCCTGTAAGGAGGTGCAGCCGCGGAAACTCACGGGGTGGTTCTCCCCCGCTCTCCGTGGAAGGCCGAGAGAAGAGCCTCAATTCAGGCACGAGGCAGGTGGGTCACAAACAGCAGAGCTTATTTGGTGCCTGGCTGCAGCGGGGCCGAGGCTATTCCATACCCTTATAGACGGTACAGAAACGAGGAATGGGCTTGACCCCTCTGGAGTGGAACATGCAGGCAGAGGTCTTCTTGATCGATCACTGTCATGAGAGCTCTGGGTCGTCATTTTCAGTCATCATCATTCAAGGTTCGCCGATTTTTTTCGTGGCCCTCCCTGTCCTTGGTTTGCTGGTCTCTGACAAAGGCGCATCCTTTCTTGTTTGTGCAGCACTTGTTACCAGGCCCGCCTGGGGGAAGAACTTCACAGGGTGGGCTCACGAGCCAACATGGAGCAACTTTGGTTCTCAGCAGATTCTATTAAGCCTTGCACTATGGGGTCACTATGAGTCGGCATTGACTCGGTGGCAGGGAGTTTGTTTTTCGGTTTGGGGGGGCATGGCAAGGGAGGTTTTCGGGGCTACGAGGAGCTGATGACGAGGACTAGAACATGTTCTGAAACGGGCCGTGGGGATGACTGCACAACGCTTCATCATGTGATCGAAGGGTTACGTTGTATGATACGTGCAGGGCATGGCAATAAAAAACTATTTCAAAACGTTAATAGCGTAAGCAAAAGTAACTAAAGCGTTATATTTCAGGTTCATTTCTGAGCAGGGGTGAAATGGCTAAGAAGCCTAAATGGCTCCGGGCCAGCTTGAAGGGCTCGGGGAGCTATTCGAATCTCGGGTTTTGTGCTGTTTCGTGTTGGAATGACCTGGGTGAGGCGAACGAGAATGATGACATTACCCACTGCCATCCAGTCAATACCAACCCGATGTAAGCGTTCCAAGACTGTAAATCTTTACAGGAGCAGACAGCCTCCTCTTTCTCCTCAGAAGCAGCTGGTGGGTTTGACTTGCTGACCTTGGGGTAGAAGTCCAGCATTGTTTTACCACAGTGTCTCCGGTTCCTTATGACAACAGCAGAACACTATAATTATTAAAACCTTGGGCTAATACTAGAGAAGAGTTAAAGGAAATGTTGTAAAACAGAGAAGCAATAGGTGGTACTTGCATA